GTAATGAATAGAATATATCACACTAATGTTCATTGTTTGTTGCATCTCAGTGTTGCGGATCTCCTGCAGCCTCTTTGCTGCCACTTCCTGCCTACAAACACTCCAGCGATGGCTGCATGGCATTCCCCGATGGTGACACAAGGACACCACTTGTGATCTCTATTGGGGGAACTTGTAACAAGGTGTCAGCTGGGATGAAGGGGCAAAGTGCTGTCATAACAGGAAGTGCCTGAACAAGAATCTTCATGGCAGGATCACCAGGAATTCTTTTCTTGAAAACTGCAGATTCAAATATATTTAAAATAACTAACTTGTTAAAGTTGACTTGAGAGTGTAGTTACCATCTACTTCAACCTGCTGGGACTCCTGCAGCCTCTTTGCAGCCACTTCCTGTCTACATGCCCTCCACTCTTGGCTGCGTGACATTTTCCAGGGCGGGTTTCCTGATGGTGACAACATTGGACTGTGCCTGTTTAATGGCCCACTTGTGAACTCCATTGGTAGAGCTTGGGACAGGGTGACAACGCTGAAGCACAATCGGGGAACAGAACACAGCGTTGTCACCCAATAACAGGAAGTGCCTGAACAAGGACTTTCATGGCGGGATCACCAGGAATTCTTTTCATAAAAACTGCAGATTTAAATATAATTAAAATAACTAACTTGTTAAAGATGACTTGAGAGCAGGGGCGGACTGACCATTTGGAAACTCGGACACTGCCCGAGGGCCCGGGGTCAGTAGGGGGCCCCATGAGATGCCCCTGGTACCTTTTTCATAGGCTTTTTTGAGTGTGGGCAAGGACACAGGGGCCCCATGACCCCCTATTGCCCGGGGGCCCCATGAGTTGTCAGTCCGCCCCTGCTTGAGAGTGTAATTACCTTCTACTTCAACCTGCTGGGACTCCTGCAGCCTCTTTGCAGCCACTTCCTGTCTACATGCCCTCCACTATTGGCTGCGTGACATTTTCCAGGGCGGGTTTCCTGACGGTGACAGCATTGGACCGTGCCTGTTTAATGGCCCACTTGTGAACTCGGTTGAGTTTGGGACAGGGTGACAACGCTGAGGCACAATCGGGGAACAGAACAGAGCGTTGTCACCCTATAACAGGAAGTGCCTGAACAAGGACTTTCATGGCGGGATCACCAGGGATTTTTTTTGGTTTTTAAATGAAAGCTTCAGATTTAAATATATGGCATATGGCCTGTTTAATGGCCCAAATGTGAACTCCATTGGGAGAGCTTGGCACAGGGTGACAACGCTGAGGCACAATCGGGGAACAGGACAAAGCGTTGTCACCCTATAACAGGAAGTGTTTCATGGCGGGATCACCAGTGATTTGTTTTTAAATGAAAGTTTCAGATTTAAATATATGGCAAATGACTTTACCATGTTAAAGCTGATATGAGATTTTACTTGACCTGCTGGGACTTGTAGTCTCGCAGCAGCAGCTGCGACCAATTTCTCTCCCGATGGTATTTCCTTCTGGGGCTTGTAGTTCCTCATTAACAAAGGTTGCCTTGGGCTGTTGATTCGTGGCGCAAACACAGTTCAGCGGCCCCCGAAGGGCCAGGTCCCCGGGGGGCCACTCCGCAGTCCAGAGGTGAGCCTCTGGCTCCACTGGGACTTGTAGTTCCACAACAGCTGGAGAGCCGCAGGCTGCCTTCCCACGCTACAGCGAATCACAGGCCTCCCCGGGGTCCCGGTGTTTGTACGGCATTATTATTTAAAGCAGCAGTACACCCGTCCCCGGAGAGGTGCGCACGTCTGTGCCAGTTGTTTCTGCACGGCTGCCTGTCAAGGTTGCTGTGGATGAGCTGCTGTGGAAGTAATGCTGCGAGGGAGCGTGGAAAAAAAGGAGACATTTCTCCCGTCCACTCCACCAGTGCCTGATCCATCACCCATCAGTGCCTGATCCATCGCCCACCAGTGCCTGATCCATCACCCACCAGTGCCTGATCCATCACCCACCAGTGCCTGATCCATCACCCACCAGTGCCTGATTCATCACCCACCAGTGCCTGATTCATCACCCACCAGTGCCTGATCCATCACCCACCAGTGCCTGATCCATCACCCACCAGTGCCTGATCCATCACCCACCAGTGCCTGATCCAACACCCACCAGAGCCTGATCCATCACCCACCAGTGCCTGATCCATCACCCACCAGTGCCTGATTCATCACCCACCAGTGCCTGATTCATCACCCACCAGTGCCTGATCCATCACCCACCAGTGCCTGATCCATCACCCATCAGTGCCTGATCCATCACCCACCAGTGCCTGATCCAACACCCACCAGTGCCTGATCCATCACCCACCAGTGCCTGATCCATCACCCACCAGTGCCTGATCCATCACCCACCAGTGCCTGATCCATCACCCACCAGTGCCTGATCCATCACCCACCAGTGCCTGATCCTTCACCAATGACCTACCCGTCACCGTGCCGGAGGTCCCTTACCCAACCGCGCACGTCCCAACGCCCCAAAGCTGCTGCTGGCCATTATTTATCGATCGCACAGAGCTAGCTCGGCGCTGAAATTGCAGCAAAATGCAGAACTGGACGGCAAAAAACGATTACGGCCTTATAAAGGGTTGCTCCGCCCAAAAATCATCTTTTCAGTTCTCGATTGGAGATAAAGAGGCAAGCCGGTTTAATCAGTTTGAATCCCCCTCCTCATTGGCCGTCCTCATCGCAGGCTATTCCCCTCTCCAGTCTATCATGAATGTTGCTGCCAGACTCATCCACCTTACTAACCGTTCTGTATCTGCCACCCCTCTCTGCCAATCCCTCCACTGACCTCCACTCAGTGTCCTCCACCCCTCTCTGCCAATCCCTCCACTGACCTCCACTCAGTGTCCTCCACCCCTCTCTGCCAATCCCCCCACTGGTCTCCATTCAGTGTCCTCCACCCCTCTCTGCCAGTCCCTCTACTGGCCTCCACTCAGTGTCCTCCACCCCTCTCTGCCAATCCCTCCACTGGCCTCCACCCCCCTCTGCCAATCCCTCCACTGGCCTCCACTCAGTGTCCTCCATCCCTCTCTGCCAATCCCTCATCTGGCCTCCATTCAGTGTCCTCCACCCCTCTCTGCCAATCCCTCCAGTGACCTCCATTCAGTGCCCCTCCACCCCTCTCTGCCAATCCCTCCACTGGCCTCCATTCAGTGTCCTCCACCCCTCTCTGCCAATCCCTCCACTGGCCTCCATTCAGTGTCCTCCACCCCTCTCTGCCAATCCCTCCACTGGCCTCCATTCAGTGTCCTCCATCCCTCTCTGCCAATCCCTCCACTGGTCTCCATTCAGTGTCCTCCATCCCTCTCTGCCAATCCCTCCACTGGTCTCCATTCAGTGTCCTCCATCCCTCTCTGCCAATCCCTCCACTGACCTCCACTGAGTGTCCTCCATCCCTCTCTGCCAATCCATCCACTGGTCTCCATTCAGTGTCCTCCATCCCTCTCTGCCAATCCCTCCACTGGCTTCCTGTTGCCCAACGGATAAAATTCAAAACATTAACAATAACATATAAAGCCATTTATAACTCCGCCCCCAATTACATCACCAACCTGGTCTCCAAATATCACCCAAACCGTCCTCTCGGCTCCTCCCACAACCTCCTGCTCTCCAGCTCCCTTGTCTCCTCCTCCCATGCTCATCTTCAGGACTTCTCCAGAGCCTCGCCCATCCTCTGGAACTCTCTACCCCAATCTATCAGACTATCGCCTACTCTGCTCACTTTTAGGCGATCTCTGAAAACCTATCTCTTCAGGGAAGCCTATCCTGCCCTCAGCTAATAATGGAATCTTCAGGAACAATAGATCTCCCAGCAGCTAACATCAATAGAACCTCCAATGGCCAGCAATGATAGACCCTTCCCTCATTGATAGATCCTCCCAGTGACAATTAACCCCCGAGGAAACATAAGGTTCCCCCAGTAGCAATAATCCCCCAGTAACAATAGATCCCCCAGCAACAATGGATTCCCTGCAACAAAATAACCCCTCCCCCCAGCAATAGTATACCCTTGCCAGCAACAATAGATCCCCCAGCACACTCCTGCTCCATGCATGGGACCCGGATAGCTGTACACTCCGGGGTGCAGCGGGACATCTGTGCAGGTCTTTAAGGTGTTACTAAACCAACAACAGTAAAATCAGTCTGTAGATGCAGTAAAGCATGCTTGTTATACTCACTGTGGAACCTAAGGGGTTAATCCTCTGCATTCTGTAAAAAGTCTGTTTGATCCTGTCTTCTCTGATCCTCCCTTCTTCTACTGTCCCCAATCCATCTGCTGATAAAATAAAGCCCTAGGAGGCACTCTGCACATGCTCAGTTTAGTGTCTAATGCTAGAAAGTCTTTTTTTTTTTCTTTGGAAGAGTGCATGTGATCAGCACAGGGCCAATCAGCACTGTCTAGACAAAGGATCAGGGTCCTGCAGCCTCATTGGACAATCAGAAGTGAATGAAAACTCCTCCTACAAGCTTTAATCAGTGCTTTGATGGACACTGATAGAAGTCACTGCTGATGAGAAAAGGTATTTATCAGTTTTATATTTACTAAAATAATTGCATCCATTTTGTGTGTACTGTGGGAGACCAGATATAATGAATGCAGGGTCCGGGGAGAGCGGATATAGTGAATGCAGGGTCCGGGGAGAGTGGATATAGTGAATGCAGGGTCCGGGGAGAGCGGATATAGTGAATGCGGGGTCCGGGGAGAGCGGATATAGTGAATGCGGGGTCCGGGGAGAGCGGATATAGTGAATGCAGGGTCCGGGGAGACCGGATATAGGGAATGCAGGGTCCGGGGAGACCAGATATAGTGAATGCAGGGTCCGGGGAGACCAGATATAGTGAATGCAGGGTCCGGGGAGACCAGATATAATGAATGCAGGGTCCGGGGAGAGTGGATATAGTGAATGCAGGGTCCGGGGAGACCAGATATAGTGAATGCAGGGTCCGGGGAGACCAGATATAGTGAATGCGGGGTCCGGGGAGAGCGGATATAATGAATGCGGGGTCCGGGGAGAGCGGATATAGTGAATGCAGGGTCCGGGGAGAGTGGATATAGTGAATGCAGGGTCCGGGGAGAGCGGATATAGTGAATGCGGGGTCCGGGGAGAGCGGATATAGTGAATGCAGGGTCCGGGGAGAGCGGATATAGTGAATGCAGGGTCCGGGGAGACCGGATATAGGGAATGCAGGGTCCGGGGAGACCAGATATAGTGAATGCAGGGTCCGGGGAGACCAGATATAGTGAATGCGGGGTCCGGGGAGAGCGGATATAATGAATGCAGGGTCCGGGGAGAGCGGATATAGTGAATGCAGGGTCCGGGGAGAGTGGATATAGTGAATGCAGGGTCCGGGGAGACCAGATATAATGAATGCAGGGTCCGGGGAGAGCGGATATAGTGAATGCAGGGTCCGGGGAGAGTGGATATAGTGAATGCAGGGTCCGGGGAGACCAGATATAGTGAATGCAGGGTGCGGGGAGACCAGATATAATGAATGCAGGGTCCGGGGAGAGCGGATATAGTGAATGCGGGGTCCGGAGAGAGCGGATATAGTGAATGCAGGGTCCGGGGAGAGCGGATATAGTGAATGTAGGATCCGGGAGAGTGGATATAGTGAATGCAGGGTCCGGGGAGAGCGGATATAGTGAATGCAGGGTCCGGGGAGAGCGGATATAGTGAATGTAGGATCCGGGGAGACCAGATATAGTGAATGTAGGGTCCGGGGAGAGCGGATATAGTGAATGCGGGGTCCGGGGAGAGCGGATATAGTGAATGCGGGGTCCGGGGAGAGCAGATATAGTGAATGCGGGGTCCGGGGAGAGCAGATATAGTGAATGCGGGGTCCGGGGTTAATAACACTTTAAAGGCAATGAGCTTTGGAAATACATATGTAGGTACCTGAGGTCGCGGCGTGCTGATAGGTGAGAAGAAGGAAATCTCCCAAAGAGGCTGATAGAAGTTCTGATCCTTTAAACGAAGGCTGGGGTTGGTGTTCTACTTTAAAGTGGCTTTAAACCATTCCATATACCAAGTAAAGTGACTGGTCTCAGGTGATACACAAATATGAACAAATCCTCCTACATAAGTTGTACCGGTTTGTCTACGGTATTCTCTTCTCTACAAAGGGCAGAATTTATACATCTTGTCTTAGATTTCAGAAATCAGGGAGCAGGAAGCTGCATTTACACTACTTTTCAGAGCTCAATGAGAGCTGACAGTAGGGAAGTGACCCCCCCCCCCCTCCTTCGTACAGCACACAGGAAGTTGAAGCTGTCAATCACAGGATATGTGCTGTAGCTGCCTCCTCTGTCACCATTTTTCTCTTGGTGTCAGGAAAACTTGTCAGAAGTGACACATGTTGATAGCAGAGGAAGGAGGCAGCAGAGAGAAATGTGCTCTGGATTGAGACAAGTACACACTATAGAGGGATGTGCTTTGTTCATATTTCATGTCTGAGGTTTACAACCACTTTAACCTCTTCATGCCGGCCGAACGCAAATGTGCAGCCTCCCTGTGTCTGGGCCTAGACGCCGAGTAGCCTCACATTTGCGTTCTATTAAAAAAGGACATATGCGCCGAGAGCGCGGACCCTGCGCGCTCCCTGCACACATGTCCAGTACTCATGGAAAGATCCCGATCTCCTCTTTCGATCGGGACCTTTGCCGATCATGTGACTGCCGTGACGGCGCATCACGGCAGTCACATGACCCTAAACCCCGCCCCGTCTCCCAGCTTCTGAAACTCTTAAAGGGCCGGGAGGCGCCGGCGTGAAGGGGTTAAATATCATATTCAGGGGCAGCTGCAGAGTGTGTGTAGGGTGGGGGCAGGGTGTACCCACTCTGGGGGCATTGTCATGCAATTTCCAAGGCACTCACAATGCTCAGAGATGAGAACAGGTTTAAAGGGAAACTCTTTCTACTAATACAGGGGTTTCCAAACTGCGGCCCGGGGGTCAGATGTGGCCCCTTGATTGCTTTCATCAGGCCCTTGGGGCACTATTTCACACTTCCCCCCACTTACACCAATGAAGGGGCACAGCTTCTTCTATTGACACCAACAATGGGGCACAATTCCTCCCAATGACACTAATGATGGGGTCCAATGACACCAACAATGGGGCACATTTCCTCCCAATGACACTAATGATGGGGTCCAATGACACCAACAATGGGGCACAATTCCTCCCAATGACATTAATGATGGGGTCCAATGACACCAACAATGGGGCACAATTCTTCCCAATGACACTAATGATGGGGTCCAATGACACCAACAATGGGGCACAATTCCTCCCAATGACACTAATGATGGGGTCCAATGACACCAACAATGGGGCACAATTCCTCCCAATGACACTAATGATGGGGTCCAATGACACCAACAATGGGGCACATTTCCTCCCAATGACACTAATGAAGGGTCCAATGACACCAACAATGGGGCACAATTCCTCCCAATGACACTAATGATGGGGTTCAATGACACCAATGATGGGGCACAATTGCTCCCACTGACACCAAACAAAGGGGCATTATTTTTTCCCACTGACATCGGGATCTTTTCTACTCCCACTGGTCACAGTCCGGACCCCCTAAATTCTGAAGGACAGTAAACTGGCCCTTTGTTTAGAAAGTTTGGAGACCCCTGCACTAATGCATTGGAGGGTGTTTACTAAAACTGGAGAGAGCAAAATCTGGTGCAGCTCTGCATACAAACCAATCAGCTTCCAGGTTTAATTGTCAAAGCTGAATTGAACAAGCTGAAGTTAGAAGCTGATTGGCTCCCATGCACAGCTGCACCAGATTCTGAGTGCTCCAGTTTTAGTAAATCTCCCCCATGGCAAGCAAGTCCATTTTTGGCGCACTGATCTGCATTCCGCCCTTCGAGTTGATCCAAATGATCCAAAAGCGTAAAGCAATGCGTTACATCTGGCAAGGCTTGTGCTGGTGTCCTGGGTGTGCAGAATCCCTCAAAACCTACACCATGCCCAACAGGCGGACCAATCACACAGGATTGGTCCCTGCCATTTGCACCCAACTCAGTTTGGCGCGGATGTTGTGATGATCAAAGACTGGTGTGCTGGGAAATAACCCATGGACAACCAGATCATGAATTCGGTCCAGTTTCTACCAACATTGGGCATCTTCTGTACCATGGCCTTCACCATGTGTACCGCGAGAGCATCCGATAGACGGCGCCGATCAATGTCATTGCGCTGAAACTGTGGAAGGGATCTCCAACACTAATAACCCATGGACAACCAGATCATGAAGTCGGTCCAGTTTCTACCAACATTGGGCATCTTCTGTACCATGGCCCTTCACCATGTGTACCGCAAGAGCATCTGATATGGATGGCGCCGATCAGTGTCATTGCGCTGAAATCTGTGGAAGGGATCTCCAACACTAATAACCTATGGACAACCAGACCATGAATTGGGTCCAGTTTCTACCAAAATTGGGCATCTTCTGTACCATGGCCTTCACCATGTGTACCGCAAGAGCATCCGATAGACGGCGCCGATCAGTGTCATTGCGCTGAAACTGTGGAAGGGATCTCCAACACTAATAACCCATGGACAACCAGATCATGAAGTCGGTCCAGTTTTCTACCAACATTGGGCATCTTCTGTACCATGGCCTTCACCAGGGGCGGACTGACCATTTGGGAACTCGGGCATTGCCCGAGGGCCCTGGGTCAGTAGGGGGCCCCATGAGATGCCCCTGGTACCTTTTTCATAGGCTTTTTCGAGTGTGGTTTGAGTGTGGGTGAGGACACAGGGGCCCCATGATCCCCTATTGCCCGGGGGCCCCATGAGTTGTCAGTCCTCCCCTGGCCTTCACCATGTGTACTGCGAGAGCATCCGATAGACGGCGCCGATCAATGTCATTGCGTTGAAACTGTGGAAGGGATCTCCAACACTAATAACCCATGGACAACCAGATCATGAATTCGGTCCAATTTCTACCAAACGTGGGCATCTTCTGTACCATGGCCTTCACCATGTGTACCACAAGAGCATCCGATAGACGCGCCGCCGTGTCATTGCGCGCCGATCAGTGTCATTGCGCCGATCAGTGTCATTGCGCCGATCAGTGTCATTGCGCTGAAACTGTGGAAGGGATCTCCAACACTAAATGAGGCTTTCGCATTGCTCAGTGTATGGTTGGACTATACATGTTACAACCTGACTGTACAATCTTTGTATATTTGCTTGAAGGGTCACCAAAACTATGTAATATAAGAACCTACCCAAGCTGTCCAATCAATGAGGTTGATTTACGAAGGCTCCATTCACCTTAGCGTGTCTCCAAAGTCATGCGATTAACGGTGCGACTTGTGGTGCGACTTTGATCCGACTTTACCAGGGGCGGACTGACAACTCATGGGGCCCCTGGGCGATAGGGGATCGTGGGGGCCCTGTGTCCTTGCCCAGACTTAAAAAAAGCCTATGAAAAAGGTACCAGGGGCATCTCATGGGGCCCCCTACTGACCCCGGGCCCTCGGTAAGTGCCCGAGTTTCCAAATGGTCAGTCCGCCCCTGGCTTTACATTCACTGGATTGAAGTCATCAAAAGTCGCACCAGAGAAGTGCAGGAACCACTTTCAAGTCGCTGCGAGTTGACGTCACACAGATTCGAATGGTACTCATTGGGGAACATGGGGTGCGACTTGTCACGCGACTTTTGAACCCCAGAGTTGCAAGGCAAGTTGCACAAGTATGCAGGGGCGGACTGACCATTGGAAACTCAGGCACTGCCCGAGGGCCCGGGGTCAGTAGGGGGCCCCATGAGATGCCCCTGGTACCTTTTTCATAGGCTTTTTTGAGTTTGGGCAAGGACACAGGGGCCCCATGATCCCCTATTGCCCGGGGGCCCCATGAGTTGTCAGTCCGCCCCTGCAAGTATGTATGTTCTCTAAAAAGGCAACTATTTTACTTTGCCTTGTGCACTTTGCAAGTGTGCCGTTGCTCCAGAGCTTAGTAAATGAGCAGAAGCTCTGCTGACTTCCATCATCCAATCACATCCAAGCAAAATGTATTTATTTATTTATTTTCCTTGCACGTGATTGGGTATCGGAGGCTGAGCTCATTTGCTGCGCTTGGAGAGTTTGCAAAGGGCACATTCTATTTGCCTTTAGCAAATGAACCCCAATATCTATCCAATCAGGAAGGCCCTTATGCTGCCTCATTTCCGGTAGATCTAAAGCTCACCATACGCTGTACAATCTGATTGTGAAATCTCTGTACAATCTCCTGCAGATCAGGACAAACCAAAACAATTTTTACGATTTTGAATCAGACACGGGATCAGGGGCGGACTGACAACTCATGGGGCCCCCGGGCAATAGGGGATCATGGGGCCCCTGTGTCCTTGCCCAAACTCAATGAAAAAGGTACCAGGGGCATCTCATGGGGCCCCCTACTGACCCCGTGCCCTCGGGCAGTGCCCGAGTTTCCAAATGGTCAGTCCGCCCCAGGGGCAGACTGACAACTCATGGGCCCCCTGGGCAATAGGGGATCATGGGCCCCTGTGTCCTTGCCCAAACTCAAAAAAAGCCTATGAAAAAGGTACCAGGGGCATCTCATGGGGCCCCCTACTGACCCCGGGCCCTCGGGCAGTGCCTGAGTTTCCAAATGGTCAGTCCGCCCCAGGAGCGGACTGACAACTCATGGGGCCCCCGGGCAATAGGGATGTAATGGGATGTGGCACCCCCCCCCCCCCCTACACACACACACAATTTTTTTTGCACATAAGAGCTTCCCAGGCCCCTCTTATGCAAGCCATAGAC